TGAGGCAGAACCAGAACCAGAGAAGAATAACAGGAAGCTCAACATTCAGAAGAGTAGAAGAAATATCTGCAAACTTACTCTGGGGCATCAAAACTGTATAATGATTCACTGTGAAGAAATCCAATCTTAATACATAATTGGATCTTGCTGTTCCTTTGCTTTTATGTGAGTTAGGCCTCAGTGACACAGGTGAGCTGTGAAATAAGCTCTGATGGATTGGTATATCCTTTTCAAATACTTAATACCTACCACGCTGACTTTATTTTTATCTCAGCCCCTTTCATCCATGCTTGACTTGAATCTTTGTCTTAGTAATGGAGAAAGAAAATGTTCAATATCTGTAGCTAGAAGCAATATGGCTGCCTAGCAACCACCTTGTAATGGCTCACTTGCAGTGCATGGCAAAATACTCTGTAAGCCAGTCTTCCATTTTCAAGTATATAATATGGGAGACTGCATTCAAGGGGAGATTGGGCAAGAATATTATATGCACAGTCCAGTAAGTAGTCATTTCAGGCAGTACCATGGAAATGATAATAAATGTCTGCAATTTTATTCCAAATTGAGACTTAAAAAAAAAAAGTTCTTATATTCCAACAATTTATGGCAAATACTGGGACCATTGTGCATATTGCTTTGTTCTTTCTTTTACGTCAGACTAAAATACTTTATGATGATGTTACTCTTTAAAATGTTGGTTTCGTGCGTTTATTGTTCTTTTGTGATAAGTGATCATCTGTTTATTCTAATACTCCCTTCTTAAAAAAAGAATACTTCACAGATAATGAAGTTCTAAGCTAAAGAAAGTTTGATAATATTTCGTTGTGATTTTTTTCAATAATAGTTTTGAAATTTTATTCAGCAGTCAGCAGTTTTTTAAGTGGCAAGGGAAGGAGAAGAGAACTGTAATGAGTATACTGCAGTAGTTTAGGTTTCTGTAGTGCGTTGGGGAGGGTCTTTTGTATTGAGATGTAATGGTGCATGATCTCATTAGCATAACTTATTTGCATATGCCACACCCCCTGACAGCACCGGAAGTGTGTCAGAAGGCAACTCCCACCCCTCAGGCTCCACTGGACTGTTTTGGATTGCTAGCTATTGGGGGGGGGGGACATGCAATCTGTCCTCACAGAGGAGGGAGAGCTTGTACCTGAATAAAACTTGGTCTTAAAGATGCCACTGGACTGTTTTGGATTGCTAGCTAT